GCTTTTCTACTGCGCTGTACTAATTAGATTTAGAGGAATGTTGTGAATTAAGTTCTGGTTCAGGTTAGGAAAAAAAATAGCTAGTTTTAGGAAAAATGTCTGAGTTAGGCACAAATGCAGTTACAAAAATGAATGGAAGTCAATACAAAGTCCTCAGTTTGATGCAAAATGTGTGTATGTAGGTGAGGGCACGTTTTTGCTCCATCGTGGGAACCATTTTCCAGAAAAAGGCAGCCTCGTGGGGACCTAATGTGCATTGTGGGGACCAAAGCCCAGTCCCCACAGGTACGGATGCAAATTTTAGGTGAGGGGTTTGGTTTAGGACCAAGGTGTGAATTGAGTTTAGGTTAGTTTGAGGGTCAGGTAGGTACCTGTGAGGTTAATTTTAGGGTAAATGTTCAGTGTTAGGCTATAAAATTACCAGAAAATGAATGGAAGTCAATCCACGGTCCCCGAGGGGATATATAAACAAATCTGTGTGTGTGAAGACAGTGTGTGTGAATTTTCTCATAAGGACGCTGAAGTAAAATTAAGTTTTTGTAATATTGCATCCTATCGTATTGTACCAGTGTATCACATATTGTATCATATTGAAATATGTTTTGTCAATCAATATTGTTTTATATTGTGTTACTTAATTGCATTGTATTGTATTGATCTTATTGTTTTGCTTTGTTTGTATTGTAAATATTATTTACATGTTTGAAATTCACCTTTTCAACAGTTTTCTGCTTTCCCAATTTAAGAACTGAAGCCGAGATAGAAACCTGGCTGTAAATTATTTAGGCGCTGTACACGAGTGGTTAAATGGTGAAGGGTAAACAGGAGTCTGACTCATCCGGCGTTGAATCATCCTGCTCCTGCCGCAGTGCTCCAAGAAAAGCCGTGAAGGACTTCACTGCTTGTTTTCCCTCGCTAATTCCCCCCGCAGTATTTCACAGGGGAAATCAGRGGGGAGCAGCAACTGCTTTTCCATATTAATTCAATTGTGCACAGGTGCTGAAATTGTTCTTGTATGATATTTCAATTTGAGCAGAACAGACGTAAACTGCACATTTTTCGTGCACGATGTGCGCTACAATTTGTTTACATGGTTCTTTGTTGACTTATTCAAGTTTTGCACACATATTTGTACAATAAATCAGARGGCATTTAACCATCAGATACTTTCTATCATTGATATGATAAATATAATCTTTATTCCAGTGATTTAATCAGATGATTATTAACAAAATGTTTGTAAAGAAATCCTTTAATTTACYTTTTGACTTTTACTGTGGTTTTGTAAATGTTAATATTTCATATGTAAAAAAATACAAAAATCTATATGTCTGTCAGATCCTTTTAGGTTAGTACTTTTGCAAATAATACTAACAATGAGATATCAGGATGGATCTTTTAGCAAGTTTATCCCTCTGTGTTTCAGTTTGGATGGATTCTTGCCCTTTGGGGGTTTGTAGTGTTTTAAAGCACAGGCCCCCAGGCTGATCAAAATCTTTTAGCTAACCAAGTGTGACTTTTCTGAATGTGTGGTGACCCCTGAAAATTGCTGACCAGCAGATCAGTGAAGCATTAAAACTGCGGGCACTGGTGTACGTAAACACACCAGACCGTTTCTCTTCCCCTTCTTTCTCTCTCTCTCTCCGCCCAAACCTTCGCTGCATTCTCACTTTTTCATTTGTCAGTCTTGATCTTATGTTTTCTGCTTTTTAATGAATCCAACGGGCCCCCACTTTTTTTTTCTGGCGGGATAAGGGAGATGGTGAAAGACAGGTTTAAAACAGGGAGACGGGGAGGGAATGTAAATGAGCAGAAACACGTGTTTCGTTTGTGTGCTTGTTCCTGTGAGTGTTCAACACTGAGCTGGATTCTCACCTGTACAACGCCTGAAACACATCTTTCGAGCTGACTCCGAAAGCCTTCTCATGCTGACTCTGTCCTTCTCTGTGAAGACAACCATTTTTTAATTTAAAAAAACAAACAATCTTGAAATTCAATACAATAATAAAAGATTCAGCTCAATTTGAGCTGTTGGCTTTTTATTTCAGACGGTCTTATCTGGYCATTCAAAAGAAGTCTAGCCATCTCACTGTTTGAAATAAACACTAAAACCCATATTTAAAAAGCACTACAAGCTGAACCTGCATTTCTCACAGCCCGTCACTGCCCACTTGTGGCACAGACGGGCTGCCACAAGGGGAAATGGTTAATTTAATCCAAAAACCWAACAAGTGCACTCTACCACTCTGAGCACAAATCGAAACCGCACCTCTCAGATTTGAAAATCTGGTAACTTAACTGAGTTGATTTTAAGTCAAAATATTAGAACTAAGATTTACAAATGAAGCCATTGGAAGGATAAATTGTGATATCAATAGAAAACAAAATGTTTGATTTAAATATTTTTCTTGAGCATGATGTTCAGAAAAGAGCAGTGAGAATTATTACTGGAAACATTGTCGTCACCCTTCAAATTCATTATTTTGTAAACTGAAAATATTGAAGTTCTTTGATTTGGTTTATTATAATGTATAAGGCCCAAAAAAACGCATTACCTTTAAACATCCAAGTAAAATTTTGTTAAGAGAAAGAGTTGTTATAACCTTAAAGGGACAGAGATATTTGTAAAACCCAAATTCAGAACT